CACACACACACACACACACTCACACACACACACACACGCACACACACTTTTCTCCTTAAGGCGAGGTGAGCTTGTTCTAACGGAATATTAAGCTTTCCTCCCCCTAAGGGGAAAGAAAGAGTTGAAATTGACCAAGATGAGGAGCAGAAAAGTAGACAGGAGGACGTCTAGAACAGTGTCTTTATGATGTAGAACGAACGAAAAGGGGAGAGAGTGAGAAATGATCACACGCACAATTAATTGATTGTCTTGGATAGGTGGGTTAGAACGTTAGAACGAGTTGAACTGTGGTACTTCTTCACCTATCCCGTAGACTGGGTGTCCCTCGGAGCGCGTTTGAAGATTTGGCCACCAGCTGCCTCCACTCCTCCCGGTCTTCAGCTGTGGTAGGTGTTCGAGACTTAAGCGTTGTTTCTGTAGTGAGAGATGTTGGGGAAATACTGAAATAGCAGGTATTAATTACTGTTTCCCAAGGAAAGAAAATGTTCTCAAATGAACTTCCTGGGGAGAAGGTCAAATAAGTTCAGATGGAAGGGCTTAAGTTTATTATTACCCAAAACGGAAGGCTAATGTTTACTATTACCCAAAATGGAGGTTGAAATTTACTATTACCCAAAATCGAGGGCTAATACTCCAAATGGAGGGATAACGTTTTATTTTACCCAAAATTGTGGGTTAATAATACTTTTACCCAAAACGGAGGGTTAATGTTTACTTGTACTCCAAAATGGTAGGCTAATTTTTACTTTTACCCTAAGAGTAAGTCCTGTCGCCACCCCCCTCCCCTCCCTCCCCAGGAATGGCGCGAGAAGGTAGGGCCAGACTTCCCACTCAGCCTGGACTGCTACATGGCTCTGACCGTGCCGTACGCCACACGTCTGGCCCGTGCCCTGGAGCCGCACGGGCTCAAGTGGATGGAGGAGTTCCTTCCCCCTGACTGCTATGACGGCTACAAGCAGGTCCGGGAGAACCTCAGGGGGTGTGACGTGTTGTTGACGACAGGGGAGCATGAGTATACCAGGTGGGTGGGGGTGGGGTTGTTGGTTGTTGTGTTGTTGTTGTTGGTGGTGTTGTTGTAGTTGGTGATGGTGGTGGTAGTGGTGGTGGTGATGGAAGCTCTACTACATCACTAGATTATGATATCAACATCAGGATAGGGAAAGCAGCAACAACTTTTGGAAGGCTGACAAAACGAACATGGGAAAACAAAAGATTAACCATCAAACAAAAATCAAGATTTACGAAGCATGTGTCCTCAGCACACTCCTTTATGGATCTGAAACATGGACCTTGTACAGCAGACAAGAAAAGCCCCTCGACATTTTCCATCTCAGATGCTGCCGCAAGATCTTAGTCATTTCGTGGCGTGACAAGGTTAAAAATGTTGAAGTGTTGGCACGTGCAAACTTCCAGAGCATGACAACTATCCTGTGTTTAAAAATATTGAGATGGCTGGGCCATATCAAGAGAATGGACGACAACCGGATTCCGAAGCAACGTCTCTGTGGAGAACTTGCCCAGGGAAAGAGACCAGGAGGAAGACCAAAACTGAGGTACAAAGACACCTGAAAAAACAGCTTATCTAAGCTTGGAGTAGATGTTAGCATTTGGGAAAAAGTAGCCGAGGACAGGAAAACATGGAGGAAAATGATAAAGGAAAGAGCTATAATGCTAGAGAGCAGCCTTACAAACAACTAGGCTGAGAAGCGCCAACGACGAAAGGAAAACAGCGGAAATACAGAGCTTCGATCCACGTCACTGATATGCAAGCACTGTTACAGAATATGCGCTTCAAATATAGGAAGAATTAGCCATGAAAGAAGCTGCATGAAGACAACCTTGAGACCATCTTAAGCTAAACCGTCTGCACAGACGAAAAGGGCCATACTATTGGTGGTGATGGTGACGACTGGGCTGGGGAACATGAGTATGCCAGGTGGGTGAGGTGGGTTAGGGGGAGGGATTGTTGTGGTGGTGTTGTTGTTGTTGCTGCTGCTGCTGCTGCTGCTGCTGCTGCTGTTGTTGTTGTTGTTGTTGTTGTTGTTGTTGTTATCGACGACTGGGAAACATGAGTATACAAGGTGGGTGTTGTTGTTATTATTGTTGTTGTTGTTGTTATAATGGTGGTAGGTGTTGCTGGTGTTATTGCTGTTGTAATGGCGAAGAGTATTGTTGTTTACTGCTACTGTTATATATAGATAGATAGATAGATAGATAGATAGATAGATAGATAGATAGATAGATAGATATATATATATATATATATATATATCTTATTTATTGTAATTTGGTGTGGTCTGCTCTTTTTGCTTTCTATCGGTGCTCCTCATATTATAATCTTAACAGAATGTAAATTGCTCAGGCCACCATCGATACAAATTATCGATCGTAAAAGAGGCAGGCTGCTGCGACCTTGTACGACAGTACATATACTAAAACGGGTACAGTGGGATATTATATTATTCCGGCGGAAAGGCATAAGTAGATACCCGATAACCCACCCTCGGTGTATGTCTTCTGTGTGCAACGCAATGACCTTCTATTCCGAACCTCTTAAGTAATAATAATAATAAATAGCATTTGTATAGCGCATATCCCCGCTCAACAGCAGGCTCTATGCGCTTTACACTATATTATTACCACAGCAGACCATAGACCACTCCGAAACATTCTCAGCTTCCGCGGAAGCATACAGTGCAAGCTGCGGATTTCACGCGCTCAAACACTACCAAACTGACGAGATCGTTCACTGTCTATAGCCGGGTACCCATTTCCACCTGGGTGAAGCGAGGAAAATTTGTGCAAAGTGCCTTTCCCAAGGACACAACGTCGGGCTCCTGACAGGATTCGAACCCACGACCTTACGGTTGCGAGTCCGAGAGCCTAACCACTAGCTAGGCCACCGACGCCACAACGGCGAAAAAGGCATTACACCAAAGACGCCGGTTTATCCTAATCTGCTCTTGGCGAAGTTTGCCGTCATCATGCTCATGTGCTGTAAACTATAAGTCAACATTAACAAAGTATGTCATAAGAATGTTTTACTTTAATTTCCTGTTGCCATTAATAGTAAGAATAGCGAAAGAAGTAGTAGCAGATATTGATCGTAAAACGACACTTTTCTTGATAAAGTAGACTTCGACACCCCCACCCTATCCCCACCCCGACTTCTTAAAATAGATTAAAAGCGTTTTTCGCTCCTAATGTCAAAGCGACCAGGTTAATGTGGCCCTACGGAGAATGGAGACCAGGGTGTGTGTACTGGCTCAAGTTAGTTCCGAATAGTGAGGCTCTGTCGTTCCTATCAAACCTCTATCGGCCTTATCTCTCCTCTGGTGCTCATAATTTGACCTTATGCAGTTGCAAGCGCTGTAAAACCTCAACTAAAACTAAAACTATCTCTCCCCCTCCTTTTCTGTGTATGCTAATACATTGTACTACTCTCAAGTGACAACCTCACCTCTAATGTTGGGCACTTGTATCATGAACTAATTGTGTTGCAATTTCCGATCAGGGAGGCTCCAGGTAACATTTCTCCTCTTCTCTGCCTGCACTACATTGTTTCAGGTACGGCTTTCGCCAGCTCTTGGAGTCACGCTGCGTTGACATCATCCAACCGGATATCACGTGGTTGGGAGGCATCACGGAAGCACGCCGCGTCGTTGCCATGGCAGCGGCGACTGACACCATTGTGATACCGCACGGGTCAAGTGTGTACTCGTACCACCTTCAGTACGCCTTCTCCAACTGTCCTGTCGCCGAATACATCAACATGAGTCATAGCGTGAGTAATATAATTGTTTAAATGGTGTTCTTGTTGCTGTTCGGTTGTTGTTGTGGGTTTGTTGTGTTTGTTTTTTTTTGGGGGGGGGTTGTTGTTGTTGTTTTTGTTTGTTTTGTTTTGTTTTTGGGGGGGGGGGGGGTTGTTTCATGGTTATGCCTATTATCAAGAAGGCCGTGGCGATGGATTAGACATTCTCTCAGGAAATCAGGTAATTGCATAGGCCCTAAGAAGGAAAGTGTTGGATTTGAACCCCCAGGGTAAAAGATCGAGGGGAAGACTACGTATAACCTGGAGAAGAGTCACAGGAATCGAGGTACAGAAAGATGGGAGACATGGAATAACACCAAGAGGCTAGCCCAGGATAGAATAGATCTAGGTGGGGAAAGTTTGTTTGTGGCCTATGCCCTAACCCAAGGGGGGGGGGGAAGCAGTGTTGATGGTGTTCTTTTTTTTCGTTATTATGTTGTCCAGTAGGATTATAATAATTGATAATATACATCACAAGTAAGCGTCTGTGACTCTGTGACGTAGCAGTTTCCGTGTGGTAAGAACCTGTCCAAGACAACCACCAAGTATCGAGGGGGAACCCGGTTGTCTTAAACCGGCGGTCCTCTTGGACAGTATGACATTACAGTATACGTGTAATTCAATAGAAGAATAACCCGAAGGGGGGGGGGGGGTTGAACAGATGATTGTCTACTCCCCGGGATGGTGCCACTGATTTATATGTTTTTATGCTATTCCCAAAGGGGGTAGGGGGCATTAACATGTTCTTAAGCACAGTAGAATTGCAAACGGGCTGATTCAACAATCATACAATGTCATACTCATAACTGTTCTGGGCCTGCAACAGGGAACTGCAGATTTTTCTTTCCTAGTAATCCTAGTCCTTTCTATTGTCATTTTTCCTCTACTTCTTTTGTATGTTTGTCACACTCTTGTGACCCAATGTTTCCTGGGTGCCTTGATAGTCGAAGCAGATTTTGAGCTGTTGAAGCTAGAGAGGTGAGCAGAGTAAGTCTGATTCCCTGTAAGGACTTCTCTGCAGTTCCTAGCGCCGTAAAACCTCTACTAAGAGTAAAACAAGATGATTGTCTTGGACAGGTGGCGGTTAGAGCAGGTTCACTCAGTGACCTCTTTCAGGGCATGGATTACATCACATCTGCAG